TTTCCACGTTTTCGTACAGGCCGCCGGCAGAGCAGCTCCCCGCTGCTCGTGAGACAAGGCTGGCTTGCTCCTCTCCCGCGACAACCGCCGTCCGAAGGAAGCGCTGGGCGTCCCCTTCTTTGGGCGCTGCCTCGGCCACCAGTGCCCCGCTAGCCTGGGCGGGCGCAAAATGAGCCGGCGGCCCTTGGGGGCCGTGCAAAGGCTGGTAATAGGTGTGTCCCATGGTCTGCTGGAAAGCATCCACGTCCGGTCTGGCAGCAGCGTGGCTGCTGGCTTCAGATGAGAGGATCTCCTCGTTTTCAGCCTCGTCTCCCTTGAAAAACATCGAAATGGTCCCGGCATCCGCGTCGTCCAGGCACGGCCTGCTCCGTGCTTCCGACACCCCTTGGGTGGGGCCAGCGGGGCTGTTTTCCTGAGAAGTGGGGTGGCCCGAGGGATACGTCGCTTCCAGGGGCTGCAAGTAAAAGTGTTCTTGGGGGAGCTGGCCGGTCCAGGCACTGGTGCCTGTGGGGCTCTGCCAAGTGCTACTGGGGGGCAGAGTCACATTGGATGCCTCGGCAAGCATGAAGGGCGCCTGGGGGGCACCGGGGAGCCCAGGCGGGTGAGGGGGAGTCGGGTGGGGATCCAGCTGGGGGCCCGGCTGGGAAACGGAGAGGCTGGCCTGGGCAGCACTCCCAAAGGCATTCCGGGACAGGAGCTCTGGGGAAGGCAAGTAAGCAGAGCTCTGGGGAGGCATCCACTGAGGCACCGTCTGCTGAAGGTGGGAGAAGGCGGGCAATGGTGGCGGGGCCGCACCGGGGTTGCCTGGATTCCTGCTCACGTCGGGCCTGCCCGGCAGCCTGTCTGGGACGGAAGCCAAGAGAGAATGTTCGGGGCCGGTTCTCATGGGCTGAGGCGGTTCCACGGTGGGGCGTAGGGCGTGTTCCGTGCTTGGATGCACTTCGGTGCTGTTGGGCACCCCTTTGGGGAAGGCAGACATGGGGGCCGTGGAAATGGAAAAGGAGCCCCCGGCTTCCGAGTGAGGGGCTGAGACCGACGTTAACGATGGAGCGGGTGCCTGAGGGAGGTGCCCAGAAGAGAGGTGAAGGGGAGCAGCTGATGATGGAGGGAAAGCTAGTGAAGAAGAGCCTGGGTCTCCGTGGGGCGCGTTGCTCAGTGGGGAGCTCCGGGGGCCTTGTTTGCCAAAGGCAAAGGGGTCTGTCACTGGTTGCACGGGCCCAGCTGCCACCGCCGCCGCCACCGTGGCGGGGGCGTTTGGGCGCCTACCGTAGGGGCCATTCCGCCAATGCATGTTCCACGAGGGAGCAAGAGGAGGGGGGCCTCCGACCCCCGGGGGAGCTGTCTGAGGAGGGGGCTGCATGATCGAAGTGGAGCCAAGTCACTCGCCACCTGAAGAGGAGCAGCAGATGGAGTGGGGCGGCCTTGCCTTCATATGCACAAGCTGGAACGAAGAAGACAGAAAAGGGCAAAATCAGTGGCAAAATCCTCGATATATTCCCGCTTTCTCAGCCAACATCTGAAGTTACGATAGCACTGGACAAGCTGTGGTTTAGTTTAGTTTAGTTTAGTTTGTTGTCATTGCACATTGTACAATGAAATTAAATACCATCTTCAGTGTACTCTACAGTAGAATTTAATGGAGTTACTGCTCTGGGATAGAAGCTGTTTTTCAGCCTATTTATCCTTGTTTTTGTTATTGTCCTGTACCGTCTGCCAGATGGAAATAGTTCAAAAAAAGGGGGTGCCCAGGATGAGATGGATCTTTGAGGATGTTTTGAACTTTCTTAAGGCAGCGGAAGCCATGAAGCTCTTTCAAAGAGGGGAGAGGGCAACCCAGGATCCTCTGGGCAGTGACGTTCATCCTCTGGAGCTAAGATACACTCTAGGGTGCAGCAGTAGGAGGTCACCAGCAGTTACAACGGAGCCTTGGAGCTCTGGCTGTTCCAGCATCTCTACCACTGGGTGATGGGCACTTTGCAAGCTCCCCTGGCGGCTTCCCCAGAAAGTCAGTGGGGAAGCAGGCAGGGAAGGTTCCAAGCCTCTGGGATAGGATGTGCCTTCTCCTTCAGCCCCACTACGCCTCTCACGCTCCTGTGCAGCTCTCCACACTCACAGCCCCAACCTGCCCTGGTGCCTCTTGGGTGACCCCTCTTGTGCCCTTCCCTGCCCAGCAGCAGCCACTCACCTACCTGCCAGTCTGGGATAAGACTCTTCAATAACTTTGTTTTTGGTCAGCTGGCAGGAAGTTGCCTCACCTAAGGACTATGAAATTCAGATAATGATGGCAACCAGGATTGCAGAGATGGCAGTCATTAAGGGATGCGGTAGTAATTGACGATCCCTTAACGATGGAACTTCTGGTCCCAATTGACATCATAAGTCAAGGGCTACACTTGCTACCCCATAAAGAATATGGATTACTGGAGATGAAATAAAGCACCTTGGGGGGGGGGGGGAAATCTGAAGTATGTAATGTTTATAAAGCCCAATTTGAATATGCTAACTATATTGGCTGGCTTGCAGGAATCTCTCCATTCATAGTCGCTTCGTGGGGCTGCATTGGAGGCCTGCCTTCTTCTCCTTCCACACAATACCGCCTCTTTTCAGTTCATGAAACAATACCAGGGATTATGGATGAAGCTAGGACTGCATGGCACAAGCAAGGCTTCTATTTTGACTTTCTTATCTTATAAATTCTAGGCCCAGTAGGGATTCTGGCACCTGAATAAGCTTATCCGCTTCCTTATTGGTCTATAATCTATGTTCTTTGATAAAGGCTTGCTTTTGGATCAAGGGAACAATACTTTCGTTTCTAGTAGTGGGTTGCAGGCCTGATTCTTCCCTCCAACTCCATCAGCTATTTGGGGGTGGGGGGGAGATCAGGAGTGGGAAGGGCCAGAAAGAAAAGCACGCTCCCAAAAGCCTTCTCTGTGGTTTTGAATGACACCCACCTCTTGCCCTCTGACTGAAAGGCAGCCCGTTATTTCTTCCCAATACATTTGGTAGAGTAGGTCAACAACGCCTTTCCGGTACCCAAAAAACCTTCGACAGCCTCCTGGCAAATCTCCAGAGACAAGGGACACGTTTCCACCCATGACATGGATTTCCATCTGTCACTGTTTGTCATTTGCTTTCAACTAACTTTTAACTACAAGAACATCATGGGATCTGGGAAGCAAACATTTCGGTGGGCAATTCATCGGAACCAGGAGTTGGGTTCAGCCTTCCTCAGGGTGTGCTTCAGGATTTTGCCTCCCAAATGGTGGGATGTGAGCAAAGGGCTTGCTAGTCCTTAAGGGACTATAATATCTGAGCTATGAACTCATTTAGTCTTCCTGGCTCTGCGTTTGGCCTTTTACAGGGGTCGGACACCCTTGTGCAAAGCAAAAGAAAATACTCCCAGATTTTGTTAATATTTAACTGAAACTTCTTGTTCTGAGAAGTCTGTTGTGCCTACCCAAGCCACCTCTGTGATATTTTGAACAAAAAACATGCACGTCAGTGGGCTGGAAAACTGAATACCAGGTTCACACATAATGCGATATGCCTTGGTTCAGCAAGGTGTGTGAATCCCACCGCTGTAACAAGAACTCAAGAAATCACATTAAAGCACATTTTCTGTTTAGTACAAAATTCTGCTAAGTCACATAATTCTATCACTGGCTCCTCAAAAACAGGAAAAGCATTCAAGAGAAGCCCCTATCCTTTTCCCTCAATACCTGTACGACTTAAGAGTAAAAGACAGTTGTCAATGTGAAAGTGACACAGAAAATAACTATTCTGTTTTACAGATAATTTTAAAAAAATGAAGTTTTGAACTGAAGCGAGGCAGGAATGAGAAGAGATGAATTAAAGATAGCAAAGTTGTCTTCACTTTAAAGACAACCAAGGAGGAATAATAACCTGAAGCAGTAAGAAAGTCCCTGGGCTTATAGCTGATCACACTAAAGCTAGTGTGGTTGCATTAAGAAAATTCTGGTCTCCAAATCAGAGGCACTGTAGTAACAAATTTACTTTATTCAGCACTAAACAAATCTCATCTGACATGCTGGGTGCAATCTTGGCTCCTCTCCTTAAAGCAAGCCAGGAGAAGCACAAAGGTATTAAGCCACAGAGACAGTTCTTCAAAGAACTGTTTACATTGGGTATATTCATTGGGGAAGAAAATCTAATGGAATGTGATAGCTGTTTTCAAATAACTGGTAACTGCCACCAAAAAAAAAAGAAAAAAAGAAAACATTTGAGAGAGATACTCACAGCAACTGCTATGTTCCCCAAATTCAAACAGCTTAGATTTGGGCTATGGGAAGTCTGATTTGTATCTCATTCCACCAAGTGGGACCTTTCAAATGTTATTTTCCGCTATCTGAAAGATACTTTATTTTAAAAGGAACTCCCTACTTATTTCTTAATTTTTTCCATTAAAGCTATTAGAAATTATTGTTTAATTGGTTTTGTTGCTGGTGGTTATAAATGCTCCAAAAAAAATTTAAAAAGTCTTATTCTCCCTTCAGTGCCACGAACAAGTCTAACAAGCCTCTTACAAGAGAGTAGAGAATGTTACGTTATTTATAAGGAACTTTCCATATTACATTTAATTAATTAGCAATTTAATTACTAGTAGCTAAAAAGAACAGAAATCATAGGTGGATTTACAGTTTAAAGAAAGATTCAGACTTCTGCTGTGATTAGAGACAGCTGATGATAGCAAAGGTGAGTTTCCAAAAACACTGGCAACCCATCCAAGCTTGTTCAATCTGAACAAGACCAACTGAATGTGGCTTATGTCTCTAGCAAGACCATCAATTCAAACTCTAAAGTGACCATGAAACGTACCTCCACTCACCAAGGAAATCTAATTACTGAAAAAACTAATCATCTGATTGTGGAGAACATCAACCTGAGCAAGAGAAGGCCAAGAGAAACATGCTCTACTCGAACTTCCTGATATTTCAGAATCCGCAAGTGCATTTCACCACAAGTATTGCGTAAGCCTTCCAAATGTGGTTTATATATATTCCCAAAACTTCTCAAAGGGTTTGTAGCACCTCAGGTCCTCTTATGGCCTCATTCCCCTCGGAGTGACCCTTATTTTTACATTGTCTAAGTCCACAGAAATGGACAACCCTCCATGCATATTACCCTGCGTTAGAATGACAGATAGCTCCACTCCTTTGCCAGCTGCCTGGCGTGTGGATGCATGGAGACAAGGAATCAGGAAAAAAAGTCACATAATTTTTTAATGTAGGCCAGACTGCCAAGGCTAAAACCCAGATCCAGGCAGTCCTTGACTTACGATCACAGTTGAGTCCAAAATTTCTGTCGTTAAGTGAGGACCCACACCTGAACTTCCAACATCTGCCTTCCTTGTGACCACGTGACTTTATTTTGGGCGCTCGGCAATTGGACATTTACAGCTGTGCACTGTTTGTCCTGTGCTTACGTCACCACGATTTATGACATTTTTTTGCAGGAAACGAGCATTTACAGGGAGTCCTCAACTTATGACAATGGAGGTGAGACATTAGTTGCGTGACTTTCCCCCTATTTTACCACCTTTCTTCCCACCGTTGTTACGTGAATCCCTGCAGGTGATAAGTTAGCAACTCGGTCATTCAGTGAATCTGGCTTCCTCACTGAATATGGGGACTGCATGATTTTTGGGACACAGCAACTGTCACAAGTATGAACCAGCTGCCAAGCATCTGGATTTTGAAGGGGAGGCTGCAAAGAGTGCCACTGTGAAAAACTGGTCCCAAGTCCTTTTTTCCAGTGCAGTCATAAACTCTGAACGGTCACTAAATGTCGCTGTAAGTCGAGGACTACCTGTATTCCAGTACGTGACACGTCACCTGTCGCATACATGCAGTTTCGGAGGCTGTGCATTATTATGCGCATGGACTACAGTCCCTGCTGTCTGTGGCTCTGCACCCCTTCCCCCAGCAACTCCCCTTCACTCATGGGGGGAGCAGCCAACTTGGCACCCTCTTTCTCTTCTTGCACCCCAGGGGCAGCTGCTGCGGAGTCTCTGTGCGAATTCTCCTTCCGCTTCCTGGGTCCAAAGGCCTCAATTTGGACTACCCCCACTTCCAAATACCCAGTTTAATTTTTCTTTTAAAGCGAAATAGTCCTCGACTTGCAACAGTTCAGTAACAGTGCAAAGTTGCAACGGCATGGGGAAAAAAGGGGCTTATGACCGCTTTCCACACTTAAGGACCATTGCCGCATCCCCGTGGTCCCCCGTTTTGCAGGATGCTCGACATATAACGGCCGCAGCGTCCCCTGAGGAGTCATGCCATCCCCTTCGGCGACCTCCCGACAAGCCAAGTGTGGCTTGGGGAAGCCCAATTCGCTTACTGTGTTACTAACCGGACCACCGCAGCGATTCACTTTAAGAACGGGGGGGGGGAGGGGCGAGAAAAGTAGCAAATGGGGCAAACCCCACTTGAGCAAACGTCTCCCTTTAAACCAAGCAGGTTTGGGGCTCCCGTTGGTCGTAAGTCGAGGATCCCCGTGCCAGGGAAGCGAGGATCGACTCTCTCTCCTTCAGGGACCCGGGAGGGGAAGGGGGGGGGGGGGGGGGGGGGGGTCCAAAACCGGGGGGGGGGGCAGGGAGACGTGGCAGATCGAGCCTGTGGGCGCCTCTCTCTCGTCCCTCTTGCCCGGCTATCCTGCCCGCTCAGGGAAGAGGCAGGAACTATCCACGATGGCCAAGGAGGTAGACTTCTCCTGAAGCGGGAGGCTTCATCCCCTTACCCTCCTGCCCTCCTCATCCAGCCCCCTCCCTCTGCAGCCGGGACCAGGGGTCCCCGATCCTCCTTCATCCCGAAAAGTCACCTGGCGGGGGTCTCCCTCAGCAAGTGCCGGCGCCGGTTCCTTCCTTCGCCACAGCACCAGCCAGCCCAGCCGCCGCCGCCGCCATCTTGCAACATCCGGCTCCAGCGGCAGCGCTGACGTGTCACGTTTCGCCCCGTGCGCGTGACGTCATCACGCACGGCCTTGCCCAGTCCTGCCCTAACGCGGGGAGGGGCACCTAGAGCTACGAAAGAAGAGTCGTCTCACCCACTCCTCACCGAATCCAGGCGCGGCGACCATGAGATCGGACACCAGGCGGCAGCAACGCACGGACGTAAGTCGACGTGCGACGGCAACTTTTTCATTGTGAGTTGGCTTTAACGCACGTCACGTGGGCGTTCTTTCCTGAAGTCACGCCCCCCTGGAGGAGTATAAGAGAGTGGACTTGCAAGTTTATGTGGATAGTGTTTCTCTTTAATTCCTATCTCTAAGGAGACATGTCAAACCTTTTTTTTTTAAATTTGTTATTTAAATGCCTCAACAGCTGCTTCCAGATCCAGCCGAAGAAACGTGGCCAAAGAGCTTCTGTGGCTAGAGCGGTTCCTCTAACTAACTAGCCCGTCTAGGCGGCTTTCACAGGGAGACCGGAAGTGTCCCGAATGTGTCCACGTTTTCCTGCTCTGGTGGGGGGGGGGAGGAAAAAAAAAGCCCCGGAGCATTTTCGTTCCTGGGCGATTGCAACCTGTCGCCCTGGCAGCTGGAGGCGGAAAGAGGCGAAATAGGACACCGGGCGCTTTTGCCTGGCTTGCCTCTGAGCAGGGTGACGGGACAGCAGAAATATTTGGAAGGCACCTTGGAGGCCTTCTGGTGCAGGGGTCTCCAGCCTTGGCGGACTTCAACTCCCAGAATCCCCCAACCAGCAAAGATGGCGGCCTGGGGATTCCAGGCTTCTCCACTTCTATCCCACTTTTGCAGCAGAAGCGGCTGGAGAAGGTAGCCGTGAAAGGACAGGTTGACGTGAATCAACCTTTGCTCTTTGCATTTGTTAAAGAAGTCGCTTGTCCTATTTTGCTAAGGATGGGAATCGTTTGTTAGGAATTCGTTCTGTAAGAGAATTGTATCCTTTTCTACCTGGTTTCTCACCTCTGCAATTTGCTTGAGAGCTGGGGACACATCCTTGGAGACAATTCCCAGGGACAAACACACAAGGACAAGGCATACTGTGTAAAATAACAAAGTATGGACAGAGCACGGACAAAGAACGCTCCATGGATAAGGACGGGGAGGGCACGGGCAAGACATTGCCCACATTAATAGCGAACTTTTTGTGTCTGATTGGACAAACTTAGTTTTTATGAGTGTAAAGTGTGTATAATACTCTGAGCCACTGTTGCAGAGTGTGGTTATTACATGCATTTTGCCTGTTTTGGACATAGTATTCACCCAGACCTTTTTTGCTTTGGCCAAAGAATAAAAAAGCGGTTATTTTTGCAGGCCTCGTCTCGAGTCTCACTCTTTGGCATCTCCGTGGCTCGGGGAAACTTCTGGGACCTTACACTGCTACTATACTTCAGATAGTGCAGAGGCAGGACTCCTTCCGGTCCCTCGGGCGCCGAATGGACCAGCCGTGCAGACTGAACCGCAACAGTCATAACTTCAAAGGCAGAAGTGAGAGAAGAGTGGAAGGACGTGCTCCTCCATGGATGGCAGTGACCTGAAAGTCCCCGAGGTAGACAAAGCCAGGGTTGAATGGCTACTCCGACCAGCTTGGTGTTCCCTTGCTTATACATAAGGGGTATCCAACTGAGGGGTGGCTTACTTCCCACCAAGGCCAGGAGTGCACAGGGAAACAACAGGCAAGTCACCAACAGGACTTGCAGAGGTGCCTGCCGTGCCCCAGAAACCTTACACCAGGTGCTGCATGTCTGTGAAATAAACCACAACGCAAAGATGCGTACACCACAAGCATGTGCTCCGATGCCTGGAGAAGATGCTGCGCCAAGCTGGTGTCCAGACAAGCGTGGAACTGGTGATCCCGTCCAGATCTTTCATTAAACCAGACCTGATCGTGGAGGCTGCGAAGCAGGTGTGGGTCCCAGATGTGTCCGTGGTCGCCGGCTACCGAATGGAGGAAACCTGGGTCATCAAGACCACGGAGTATAGGCGTCCCAACCATGTTGCCGACATCTGTCGTTGGGCTGCTCCACCCCTGTTTTCCACTTACCAGTCGTCATTTCCAACAGAGGGCTGTTCCATCAACCGTCGGGGCCTTGGGCTTGAGCTGCCGGGACATTATGGACATGTGTTTGCTGACCATTGGTGGCTCTCTCAAGTGCTACAACCTGTTATATGCATGGGACAAAGGACTGGAATGGCTGTCTGTTTTGCTTTGAAGTGTCTGTATTATATCTGATGTAACTGATAGTGAGCAATCGCCTTGAAGAGCAGGTTGGGCTCTTCAACAGATGGTATTACTGTATTGTATTGTACTTAAATGTGTCGTACCGTACTGTATCGCGAACTGTTTTACCTTGTACCTGTACTGTCTTGCTTATCTAAAAATAAAATGTTACTTGGCCAAGGTTGGGGACGCCTGGTCTAGTGCAAGGTGGAGACCCTAAATAGGAATTCTTGAATTTTACAACAGTTCGTTTAGTGTCTGTAGAGATTCTCAGTCATCCATGTCCTGGTTGTCTCAAAGGTGCTTTTTTTTCCCCTTCAAGAGGCAACTTTTTTGTTCAAATCTTAACATTTACTACTTATAAAGCTTTGAAAATCTCAGGATATCAGGCTGGACTGGAAAAGTAATAAAGGCGGCTATGGCACGCTATTTTGTATTGTAAAAAAGAAATGACATGGTTGTATCTGTAAAAGTACCAGGTGTTGATTTTTACTAGGGTAAACTAAGGTGACCAACTGTCCTCCTTTAGGGAGGACAGTCCTCCCTTTGTAAGTTCTTTCCTCCCTCGAAAAGTACCCTCCTCCATGTCCTCCTTTTTGATATTTGAAGACAAATCTGTAAATTTCTGTATTTAATCGATGCCGATCCAATCCGTTGTGTGTCATGTGATGTATTTGTATTTGACATGGCGATTCATCAAGGCTCGGTACAGTGCGGCAAGACATGTTTATGGGACGCATGTGCTCCACACAGGAGTATTGTTTTGAGAGAGTGTACTGTGTGCAAGAATGCGCCCCGCGCAAGTGGCTTTGTTTTTCTTCTTCAATTTATTTGTGTCCTCCTTTTCACTGTAAAAAAGTTGGTCACTTTATGTAAACGTGGATCAATTTCTCTTTTGTTTTCCAGGGTCAAAAGATCCAATTGTCCATTGGATGAAAATCACTGGTTTGTAATAGCTGGGAAATTTTCCAAAAATAGGATAGGGTTAAATTTACTTGTGATTTTTCCCAACAAAAATTATATTTGCAGCCTGACACACTTGGGCCAGGTAAGTTCCAGTTTGCATGTCAGAAGTGCTGAAGTCACCACTCCGTTTTACAGATAAGCTGGTGTGGAGTGACCTGATGATTTCAAGATCAGTTTCATTTTCCAAACTGTTTCATTCTTGTCCATGATTAACCTCCAAGATTAAGTTTTCTGGAAACTATAAAGGCCTAGTACCTTGGTAGAACTTTGGTCAACCTGATTAAAGGTATTTCCTTAATGAGCTCTGTGGAATATCTCTCACAATCAACATAGAGGAATAATTTTTTATCTCACTGAAATAAGAATGTAAAAATGCTTTTAAGGATTTGAGTGGTGCAGTGTCCTAGAGGTGGAGCTCTCGCATCACAATTAGGCTGTGAGTTCAATTCTAGGTAGAGGCAGATATTCCTCTCTCTGGGCACAATGAGAATTTATCTGCTGAATATAACTCCACATTGGTGACAGGAAGGGCATCCGGCCAGTAAACATTCTGCTCCATTCAGTTGCCCAGACGCCACCCCACATGGGATTATGCGGTCATTAAAAGATGGGTGCTTTTAAGGATTTCCATGTTGGAAAAGATGCCACACATTTCCTTCCGTGAATTAAATTATCTAATCTGAAAGAAAAGTAAAACCACAACCAACGCTAAATGCCTACTGACATAGTTTATTGCAAATTGTGTAACAAAATAAAATAAAAGGCATCATTTTTTGCAAATTACAATTTTGCATGGTTCTTTTTTTTTTAATTACAGGTTTGCTTGTTTTAATCTCCCACATTTCTTGACTTATAAACTACAGTCTATTGTATAAAAAACATAAAAAAGATTTGACACCAAGAAGCGGGTGTTAACAATCACTCATTGTGGAGACGTTCCAGCACTTTCCTTTATCCTAAGGGTGGAAAGGGTCTCCAGAGCAAAAAAAGAAGCTTGGAAAATGATCAGATTCCCACAAGAGAGGGTGCCAGTGTGTTCAACATCTGAACTGACAAGAACATCTTCCCCAGGGTTACAGTTCATGAAAATATGTACCATCTTGCCCTAAGATGCCAATGCAGCTACAGATCAGTCCTACCTGGGCAAATCTCAGGAGATGTTCCTTGGAAAGCAATTCTCGACTTACAACTATAATTGGGACCGGAATAGCTTCCATTCCTAAGCGATGTGCTCACCGAGTTATCTCCAATTTTACCGGGTTTTATTTTGTTTTTGCCATCATTCAGTGAATCACTGTGGTCATTGAGTAAATCCATCTTGTGACCTCAGGACACTGCAACCATCCATCCACATGGGCTGGTTGCAAAGTGCCTGAATTATGCTCACAGAGCCCCTGGGACTTTCACAAAGTGTGAGGCCGTGGGTCCGTTTTCAGTCTAATTTTGAATGGTTAATCAACTAATGACTAGACCAAAGGCGTTCATGTCGCATTTACTCCAAAGGACGTAGCACAGGTTTGCAACCTCACCAGCTGAGCTGGTTTTATTCTTCCCTTGAGCAATATTTTCAACAACCTCCACCAGTGCAATGCTTTCTTTCCGTTTAACCATTTAGATTTTTTAAACAAAATCCACCCATATCGTTTTATGTATATATAAAAAAAAAGACTCCGTATATTTACAAAACATTAGCTTTGCCATAGGCGCATACTGTATATATATATATATTTGTATACAAATTCAGCTGCTCCGCCTGCTAGGCTGGCGCCGTTCTCTAAA